TTTTCCCCAAATACCCTTCAATATATCCTAAGGGCGAGCGGCCAATGAGGAACATGTCAGAAAGCTTGCACCTCTCCTGGTTAGGTTATGACGATGTGCTTACAGGGAGAAATAAAACAGTTGATTGGAGAAAACAGAGAAGTACGTTTCTCTGAAATTAAAAAAAAAATCATGAGAGTGGGCTACCTACTGACAATTACACCCTTTCCTAACAAAATAAAAACACAAATCCTATACAGTATTTAAAGGGATTCTGAGAAATTGCAGTTCCACAGAGTAACATGTCTTACATACATCATGGAAATGTAGCAAAAGACTTCAAGAATGCAATCACAAGCAATACTGATTATAGCTGAAATTACTTGGCATACACAATTTTTCAAAACATCTTTAGCATACCCAATGACCAAAAATAATTCTAGAATTAACAGCTGTTATAAATGAACTGAATAAAAGGTAAGTCAGTTTCCTGGGCAACTTCTGAATGAGATAATTATATGAACATAATGCCAACTTGATAATTTTTACCTAAAAAGTTTTATTATGAAATTTATATATTTTTCACAAGTTTATATAGTTTAGGAGGCAGTTATAAATTCACCATTAACAATAAAGTCAAGCACAAACTATAAGCTAAGTACATACAATAAATATGCATAGTTATTCATTTATTTGGAGCCTTTATAATTCCACTTGGAATTACAAAAACGGTAAGTTCCAGGATTACTACTAAAGAGAAGTACTTTTCTATACAACAAACAACCTCAAACAAAACTGGAAAATTTAACTTTCCCTAAACTTCAATGACATGTCACCAATTCCTTTACTACCAAACTTCATTTACAAGTGCTTGAGGGGGGTGGGAGGATGGGTTAGCCTGGTGGTGGGTATTGAGGAGGGCACGTTCTGCATGGAGCACTGGGTGTTATGCACAAACAATCAATCATGGAACACTTCATCTAAAACTAATGATGTAATGTATGGGGATTAACATAAGAATAAAAAAAAAAAACAAAAAACAAGTGCTTGAAACATGAACAGGATTAAACAGGTGAGTCATTTCCCACCCCCCCAAAAACAAAAACAGTGAGTCCTGGTATCTGGACAAATATATAATTTCCTTACCAGAGAATACAGTAAAAGCAGTGAGTCCTATATCAAGACAAATATATAATTTCCTTACCACAGAATACAATAAAAGCAATGATATTCATTTTGTTTTGTTTTCAGACCATCTCTAAAATCATAAAAATTAAAAATGATGCACTTACCAGCAATTTAATAAACAATCCTCTAAAGATTTCAATTTAAGATTAAGGTATACCTGTCAAATGTATGAGACTGGTTTGTTGGATCAGAATGGTTAAATTATTTGTGAATGTGACTCTAAGAGGAAAAAAGCATTAAAAGAACCCTTTTATTCAGGGGAAACAAAAAAACCATCCAACTCAACAGGCAAATGTAAACTATATTGACACGACCATTCTTGCTGTCTCCTGTACTCTTGCTTCCAGTGACAGCAGGTTCATAGTGCATCAGAACTACACTTATGGTTAGAATGCTGCAGACAATACTTAGGCATATCTTTTTTAAACATTTATTTACTTAAGTAATCTCTACACCCCACATGGTGCTTGAATTCACCACCCCAAAATCAAGAGTCGCATGCTTTTTCCACTGAGCCAGCCAGGCACCCCAATACTTTAGCATATTGGTTCATGTCAAGCTATCTACAAAACACTTTGGCTACCCCCCACCTCCCTTCTAACAGACTAGCTGAATGAAAGGGCTGGAAGCTTTAAGACATTAATGTGAAAGGTCAAAAGCTGAAATAGATTCACTTTTAAAAAGAAGAAGTCCTATCAGATCTTACTTCATCTTGAGGAAGATTATGATTTCTCACTTGTAATTCAATTGCTATTTTGTATGTATGTGCAAATAGTTTGTAACCTGCAAACAGATATATCAAATATTAGGTATTTTTACTCAATAAGAGTTCAGATTTTAGGGCACAAAGCAAATCTGCCTAGGTCATATTGCTGAGGCTCATGATATGCACAAGGTCATACAATTAAGAGACAGAATTAGGTTTGAAATCTTTGTGCCTCTGGAGCTCAAATCTGTGTGTTTATCACCATGTTATACTGCCACTGACAATGTGACACGAATATAATAATGTCAGTGCTGAACAAGTAGATTTCTAAGGGTTAAGACAAAAAATGCAAATTACATACTCACATTTGATTGACATGATAGGACAAAGTGTGAAATGGTGCCATAAAAACTACACAGGACAACTAGGTTTCATAAGTAAGGAAAGTAAGTATAAAGCAAAAACTTTTTTTTTTTAATTGTGCAAGCTGTTTTTGCTTTGACTTAATTTCCATGAACAGATAAAAGAAATGCAGCTTTATTCTGGCATCATGATTTTCATAGCAATAATAAAGAACAGTCGCTGGCAAGTTACAGAATTTCAAATGCTATAAAAACAGTAAACTTTTAAAGTTCAGACAACAGACATGTACCTATACTTGATGCCTAATAAAGGTAATTCTCCTCCTGAAAAGAACACCAAATATTTAAGTTTCTTTTACCTTAATCTCAATTTTCTGCCTTTGAGATCTTTGATTTTCTTCAAAGGCAGAAATCTGGAAAGCCAATTCTGGCACTTGACCTCCTTCTCCAAGCATATTACAATGCTGGTTGCACCAGTCCCCGAGGCACTAGACCAGGGAGTGCGATCACTCATTCTCTACCTTTAGTAGGAACTAATATTTCTGAAAGTTGTTACTGGATAGGTCAATCGAGACAAAACTTTTTCCTGCAGGACATCAATCGACCACTTCTTTTACTTTTTGAAAGTCTCTAAAACCAAGCGGAGCTTGGTGAAAGAATGTGAAGCTGAAGGTTGACATCAACACTTGTAGATTTTAAGCAATCAAGATAGATTTTTAAATATCCATTTTAAATAGGTTAAATTGTGGAGTAACAAGCTTCATCTTATTTTCATAGTGCAGAAGCCTACGACATTTCCTATGAGGTATGGAGAAAATATTCTGCAAGGGGAAGAGCTTCTCCAATGGAATGATAACTACACATTGCAGTAGCTTAAGCTAACCTTTTCAAGTAGTGACCTGACAAATGAGGCCCACCAAAACTGTATTAATGCTTTTTTAGATAATATTAATACACATCTACAAAAGATAAGAATTTAAGACAAAGTATCTATTTTTCAGGTGAATCAAAAATTTAAAATCAAGAAGTATCAAAAGCTATGTACAAAAGGGCCAACAACCAAACGGTAAGCAATGACAAGTGATTAAATCCAAAACACCAAGTTGCTAAGTTATAGGGAAACTGCTGTTCATCTGGACCTTTGCCCAGAACACAAAAATTTGGAGGAGAAACGCTGGTGGTTTAAAGGGAAAAATAGTTCTAAATTTGCAGCCTCATTCCTTTATCTGGACAGCTAATCTTGACCTTGCAGAAGCTTCCTTTGATACTGTTTCTACTGAAATGGCCAAAACCACAGTGGAAAATCCAAAAGGTTACCAAAGCTCTTATGTGGAAATCCACTGTTCAAAAAACACCTAAAGAAAAAGGGGCACCTGGCTGGCTCAGTTGGTGGAGCATCCAACTCTTGATCTCGGGGTTGTGAGTTTGAGCCCCACCTTGGGTGCAGACATTAATTAAAACAAAACAAAAACCCAACACCTAGAGAATGTATTTAAAGTGAAGATCAGAAATTCTACATTCCTTACATCAACCTGAGATTCTGGCAAAGGAGACAGTGAAGTATTTTAAAACCCCTCAAAATCCTTTAAGGTAACTAAATACAGGGCAAAATTATCTGTACTCTCCCGGGCTTATGGCCCACTTCTTTTGACAAAAAGGTTTTTTTCTTTTCTTCAAAGACTGCGTTCCTTTAAGAACCACCACCTGCCCAGGGTGCATTTTTTTTTTTCCCCCTCAAGAAGGCATCTGCACTGCAGATCTCTGCATGAGGGGAGCTTGAGCTTGCCAGCCAGCTCCCACCAGCAGGCAAACGCGTATACAATGGAAACTAAAAGCGGCCTGCAGCTTCCCTCCTAGTCTTTCACAGAGATAGGAGAATGGGGTTCAACCAGCTCCTGCTTTGTCTAATTTTTCTCCCCCTCCCCCTTTCTGCGCTAAACACCCCCTTTTGTTACACTGGGATCGATAATAGCCCATAGAGAGCATGAAATCAAAATGTGTTTGTTAATGGCTTGGCGTGACTCTTATTATCTTCTAGAATATAAGCAACTGATTGCTTGTCCCTACCCCCACGGCGCGCCAGTGAAGAGCAGGCGGTGTTGCAGATGCAGCCACGGATCCATCTTGGACCATCAGCTGCTCCCTCCCAAATCTTCCTGAGCTATTCTCATCACGCCTCCTCTTACCTCAGAGCCTCAGAAAAGCGGGCATTTAGAGAGTCTAGCCACACACACACACAAAAGCAAGCAGATAAAAAGAGTATAGAAAACGGCTACCATGTTTCCATGAAACTTCCTGATCCTCCCCACGGGAAACCAAAAAAAATTTTTTTTGCAAGACTACCATGAATTTCTGATTATGCCAACATCTGTCCGCAAACCTGCAATGCAACCCTTTCACCATCATCCCCTCAAAATCGTAACTAGTTCTTTCTCCTACAACCAATCTGCCCCAATCCTCTCAATCTCTCTAATCCTCCACTAAACCCCGGTTCAGCGGACGGCTCCCCCAAACTGCTGTTTTTCCCCACCTACCCTGCCTCGGCGTTAACGCCCACTCCCTAGAATATCTCCCCGCCTCCAACCTGTTTGCCTCACACCCCGTTATTTCCTCACCGTCTGCACCACCTTACGCTCCCCTCCCCCTTAGCCCATTTTCCAGACGCTCGTTCCCGGGGGCTGAAGCCTCCAGTAGGCGAGGGTGATCTGCCTTCCCCGACCCCCAAAACAAGCCCCTCGAAGGCGGGGTTCCCCCGCGCGCCTCACCCGCACAGGAGGAGCCGCAGCTCTTCGCCCCCAGGGCGGGGCAGGATCCAGGGCTCCCGCCGCCGGGCGCCGAGGGTTCGGCCCCGGAGGACGACGAGGAAACGGACGGGGACTGAGTGGCCGCCGACGGCTCCGCCATGGCTGCGCGAGCAAGGGCAGGAAAGGGGTGAAGAGAGATGCGGGGCGGGAGAGAGGGAGGGGAAAGAAAATAATCGAGCAGCAAGCTCTCAGAAGTCCCTCCGCTCCTCCTGCTCCGAGGACAGACTCCGACAGACTGACTGACTCAGCCGAGCGCAGCTAGAGGGCGGGAGCGCGAGCGCGCAGGCGCACAAAAGGCTCTCGGGCGGGCGGCGGTCGCGCCTAGGCGCCCAGCGACGCAAGGCGCAAGCGCAAGAACTGTCCCTCCGCGCTCCTGCGGGGAAGGAGGGGCAAAACTCGCTTCACGCTGCGTCCGCGCGGGAGGCCGGGGTGGGCCGTGCCCCTCCGGGAACCAGACGCAAGGGGCGTGGCCAAGTATCAAGCTCCGCCCACCACTGCGGCCGAAGTGGGAGGGGACCCTGCAGGTTAGTGTCTCTTTACAACTCTTTGTGAATGCTTCAGGGGCGGCGGATTATGTGTTTTAACGATATTAGTTTCTTTTGCTTCCATTAGCTGGAGTATGTATTTCCCATAAATTCCAGAGCGGATGTCTATTGTCTGATGCGTTTCGGCCTGTGTGTGTGTGTGACGCCAATGAAAAGTGAAAACCACAATGTGGATAGGCCCACTCTGCAAGGTGCTTTATGAATTTTTGTGGATGTGTCGTAATATCACCATGAGGCAGAGATGGCACTGTCTCCCATTCGGTAGGTGGAGCAAGATGCTAGACAGAATGAAAAGCTATTACTCATTCCAGTCACATTGCAATGCAGCTGCAGAACCTGCTTCATATTCTTACGTTGTTTCTGTTCCCAAAGAGGAGTCCACCTTGGGTCTTAAGGTTGTCCTTTCTTCCAAATAGGCTATCAGGTAAAGAAGACATATTTTGAAGAAAAAATTGCTGAGCTAATGAGGAAAAAGAAGAGCCAGGAGATAACATCCTGGCTGCGGTCATGAAGGAGGGTAAGATAAGGTATTAAAAATTGAGAATAGGGCACAAAATACACATAGTTGAATTTTATTCATAGCCTAAATGGAGTCCTTTGCAGAGAATTTACTTGAAACCAGATATCTAGCTTATACTGAATTTTTTTGTCTTCTCTTTGGTTGGATTGTGAAATAGAAAGCCTTCTCCATAGGCCTGGTTAAAATATTTGAAATGTGCATAATTCTTTTAAAAAGGGGAACGTAAACTGGAAATGACCATGATCAAAACTGTTGCCCTTGTTATTGCTAAAGCAGCAATCGATGACCTGAAGGGCAACTGCAAGATCAGCAGATCCTGTAGAGATGCAGCCTCATGAAGGGGGAGGTAGTAAGCCAGGCAGCAACACAGAGGAAAAGCGATCTGACCAGTGGAAATCTTCTAGAACAGGAAGTGGACTACATCTGCCCTTGACAGTTTTTAAGGTCAGGTAAAGCTCAAACAGGAAAAAAACTGGCCATTGCAACGTTCTGAAAAACAGGCACAGAAAATATTTCCCAAAATAACTTCGTGGCATATATCTTACTCTGACACTTACAGCATCACTTGATAATGCAGCAATCTGTCCTTTAGATGACAAAGGGAAATACAAGCCAATCTGATAACCAAGCAGTTATCTACTCATTCTAATAAATGCATAAACTTTAAAAATGTATGTTATTAGGAGCTGGATAAGGAAATGAACGATGCTGGTCCCTAGCCCTGACAGCGATTGCTAGGATCTGAAGACCCTGCTTGGAAAGGAATCCTGTTTTCATGGTAACTAGAAGCAGAGAAAAGAAACTAAAAATCAAGACACTGATGTTGTCTTGGTGGTCCTTTCATACTCTTAAGATTTCTTACATCAGAGGCCTTGTGCCAGGTCCAATTCCTGAAGCTGCCTTTCCTGCCTGCTCCCTCTTGCTGTACCAGTAAATTCCCTGAGACTGACTCTTGCTTGAGATGTTATTTGTATATAAGGTTTGTTCCACAAATGTTTACTGATCACCTGCTGAGTGAATGACACTCTCCTGGGAAATTTGGAGGAATCCAAAAAATGTTTGTCCTGTCTTCAATGAGCTTACAAGCTAGTTGGGGCTTAAAACAGACTCACATAAAAATAAAAATTAAATAGCAACCAAAACAACCCCCAGCAACACAAAGCTATAGTGTTCTGCTTAGATGGCAGTGAATTGTATGGATTTAAAGGGAGAGGGAGTCACTATGGAGTTGTAGTGGCTTCCGGAGGTTTTATGAAGAAGCGCAAAGTTAGATGGGAGTTTGGAATGGTAAGGAGGTCATTAAAGGCAGAGGAGAATGGTATGAAGCAAATGCCAGGGGCTGCTTTTGTGCAAGTGTACAATAAGACCTCCTTGTGGGCAGACCAGTCACAGAAGAGCACCCCTTCCTCCCAGCCCAACCCCTGATGCCCTTCAATGCTGGCTTGTTTAGCAGAACTTGGCCTAGATTTGATCCTCTCTTGCCCCTCCCCTCCACAGGCTGCCTTAGACCTACACATAGAAAGCACAGCCATCTGTGGTGGCTAGAGGGTCCGAGTGTGACCCTGGGTAAGGTGTTTTGGGTGTGGTTAGCCCAGGTTGGCTAGAGCCAAGGGCTAACAAGACGGAGATAAAATAGGGAAGATGTGTTGGGGCCAGAGTGTGGAGAAGAGGTACTATAGCACTAAGGAACCAAGGCTTCCTTTTAAGGCTGATGGGGATTCAGTGAATGTTTGCAGGCAGGGAAGGGCTCAGATGGGATTTTTTTTTTTTTTTTAAAGATTTTATTTATTTGAGAGAGAGAGAATGAGAGAGAGTGAGTACATGAGAGGGGGGAGGGTCAGAGGGAGAAGCAGACTCCCCGCCGAGCAGGGAGCCCGATGCGGGACTCGATCCCAGGACTCCAGGATCATGACCTGAGCCGAAGGCAGTCGCTTAACCAACTGAGCCACCCAGGCGCCCCTCAGATGGGATTTTTAAATGCTCACTGGAGCATAGCCACTTCTCAGTTCTGTGGAGCAATTTTTACTGCTGAGGCACTGAGCTGGGCCTCTTCTTCCTTGGCCCTGTCCTTGTAGGACTGGTATTTACACTGGTATTTACAGTCCTTATAGGACTGCTAATTTCCCCACTCAGCTTCTGGGCCATCTCATTATCCCATCTTTTTCTTGACTATTAGAAAAAAGTATTTTTTAATTAAAAAAATCTCTTCGAATATATTTGTATGTCATATATATATATATATGTTCACATATATATGAGTATATATATACCTTAAAGTTTTCTTCTGTTATTAACCCCTCTCTAGCTCCTAGTCTCCCCCTCTACACACACATAGGTAAGTACTGTTAATATCTTACTCTGACACTTACAGCATCACTTGA